CTTGAGCATCCCTCTCACGATTGCATCGAATATGTACTTTATTGTTCTAAAATAAATCTCGAACCCCGTCTCTCCAATTCCCCCACTCCTGTCTCATCGCCACAGCCGCCGTTTTACTTAATTCTCTTATCTGCGCATTTATCCCATTTTTTTTGCATTTAATATCTTAAATATTTAATTTCTTTTACCTCTTCTATTCTTTTTTATTTATTTATTTATTCCTTCCATATAGTTCCTTGGTTCTGTACTTCAACTTCTTGTCAATTTTCCCACCTTCCATCACCTTTTCCGTCACTTTTTTCCATTCCACTTTGTCAAACGCTGCGTTAGTCCATGAAAAACCCGAACACCTTTTTTTTCCAATTCATTTTCCACCAATCTGTATAATACATTGATGCAATCGAACGTTCCCCTCTCTTTTCTGCAGCCCATTTGTGTTTCCTCCAACGGCCTCTTCTTCGATTTCTCTTTCTAGTCTTGCGTTTAGTATCATTGCATAAATTCTATATGCCGCAGTCGTTATACTAACTCCCCTATAATTTGTCACACAATCTTTGTTTCCTCCTTTGAAGATCGGCACAATTACCCCTTCCTTCCACTCTGTGGCGAAAATCCACGCCTCATTACGTATCTTGTCTCTCGCTGTCGCTTTCCCCTTCTTCAGTATTTTTAATTGCTGCTGGATCTCCGCTCTTGTTATCTCATCTCCTTCACCCACCTCTCTTCCTACCGCTTCAATCTTTTTCTGTTTTTATTTCCCTGATTTGCTCTTTTTGCTCTTTGTGTTTCTCCATCTTTTCTTTTGTACTTTCTTCTGTTCTCTCACCTCTTTCTCATCTATTTCCCCTCTTCTTTCTTTATTTACAATTTGTTTTGTACTTTCTTCAGTTTTACCTCTTTTTCTTCTATTTCCGCTCTTTTTTCTTTCCCCGTCATTTCTTTATATCTATTTCTCTCATTTGTCTCCTACTGCCCCTTCAGTTCCCTCCAATTTCTTCACCTTGTTCCTTTAATCTCTGTCTATACAGCTCCACCGATTCTCTTGCCCATAACGCCATAACTATATCTCCCTTCGTCTTTTCATTTCTTGATCTTCCTATCTTCCTTTTTAGACTTAATTCCATCGGTTGGTGATCCAATTCTATCCTTTTTGCTATCTTAAATTAATTTTCATTTACTATTGTATAATCAATTACCGGTCTTCCTCTTCCTCCTCCCATGTATGTGAATTTCCCGTCCTTATCCCCCTCCATATTTCCGTTTAAAATTCTCCAATCTCTCTTTTCTGATAATTCCAGTAACACTTCTCCTTATTTGTTGCACTCTTTATCTCTTGATTTACTTTTTTGTGGCCCTCTTCCCATCTCTACTCATTTTCCTTTAATTCCTGTTCTGGAATTAAATCTCCCCCCAATATTAGCCCCTCCTCCTCCCATTCATCTACAACATTTTCTATTTTGTCCTTCATTTCTTCTGTGTTGTATATCGTTATCACTATCATTTTCTTTCCGTCCACTTCCACTGGTCTGGCCTGTATTCGTTTCTCCTCTTTCTTTTTATCCTCCCATTCTCTTATCCCCTGTTTTATCTCTGTTAATATACCTCCTTTTTGCCCGTCCCTTTATATTGTCCCTCTGATAGAGTTTTACTTGCCAACGAAATAGTAGAAACAGTTCTTTAAGACTTTAAGCGTAAAAAAATCATATATTATAATGTGGTAATAATTGAGCACAACAAAAGAAACATGGTATTAGGAACTTTTTGGTTCTTTGTCCTTAGGAGGCAACTTATTGCACCCTGATAAATGAAATCAACGATAGGTAAAAATTGTCATATACAAATCCAACGTTCAACCATTATTTAAATGCTGCTTGGGGACAGCCTTGAATACTAATTTTTTCGAAGGGCTTTTGTGTATTACGGTAACACATTATGTTTCTCAGGAACGTTATAAAAGAATGATTATTTATGGTGTAATGGGAAAAATCTATTTTCGGATAAAGAAACTGTCAATGGAAACCTATCTTATAATTAAAAATGATCTTCTGTACTATACTTGAATTTTCCTTAATTTACACGCCCGTCATCAATTCTGTTTTTGGGGAATGTTGTAATGCCAACCTATTAAGAAAATATAAAAAATCTGTTTAAACCACAATATCCATTGGAATTGTTAGACTGATCAATGTATTTCACAAAAAACTTTAAAGAAAAGGAATTTTTTTTGTTTTCAGGTTATCTGTCGGTCGAGTTTACGTTTACATTGCCACAATTTTACAATTTACAACGCAGCACTGTCCGCACGGGTGCCCACATACAGTAGAATTTCACTGTAACTGTTAGTCCGGTCCAAGAGTGAGTTTTTGTTTCTTTCTTTCTTCCAGGAGACGCTTTTCTGCAATTGAACTGTTTGTTATAGAGCAAACTCCATTACTCTATGCTAGTGTATTGCGTATTTGTTGAACCCAGCCCCACCCCCATTCCACACACGTCTATCTGCTGCTCCGAAGTAACTCAATAATTTATCAGAATTACACCCTGTTTAGGAGCTCATCACATGCATAGAAATTTTGACTTCACTTAAGTCATTTGGAATCCAAGACTGTGGGAAGGTCATTACTACATGGATTGTACCCCATAATCGCCATCTTTTAAACAATTGTAATTTTTGAGGATCACCTCGCCCACTTTTTCTCACATAAAATTAAAAGAAGCAAATAATAGAAATGCAGCGTGTAAGTAAAGGCTAGGAGCCTTATAATTCTCACATAAAATATACCCCGAACAATAACAAAAGACGCGCAAACGGACTTGATCGTCTCTACGATTAGATCGATTTATAAGTGGAGCTAAAAAATTACAATCGGTGGTAAGTGAAAGTCCTTAATTTAAGTAATTGGTTCTCGATTAGTGCAAATTTTATTTAGAAAAAAATTACAATGTGACACTGAATGAGTGTTAACAAAAGAGACTATGCTTTCCTCACGCCTCAAATTTCCGCCTACCGCTAAATCGCCCGTCGATGCTTATAAATTAAGTCTTTATTAGTGTACTTTCCATTGTGACATTAAAACGATCATTGTCTCTTTTAATTACTTTTTTTAATGAGTTAAGATTTTGCGCGACCATTTATCCGAAAGGCTAGACCAAGACTACAAGGGCACAGCATTTAACTTTTTGAAGATTTTGCAATATTGCATCTCAGAAGTGGCAAACGCAACTAATGACGTGCTAAGGATTCGGAATTATAACATTTCATGTTTGTTGAAGGTAAATATTGTCGAAACACGTTCAGTTGTTAGTTTTTTTGTGTTTGTTTATAGCTTCAGTGTTTCCGCAACACAGCCTCCATTATAATAGGAGACAATGTAAAATAAAATATAATAGAGGCACCATTTTAGAATAATTTCGTAAATAAAAAATGTCAAACAAGGAAATTAAGTGTTTTCTGGCTTCCTCTTAAAAATGACATTTCCGGAAGTGAATTTTTCATGCGGCCACATCTAAAATATGCAAATACTTGAAAACTAAAAATCCAAATTACTTCATTATACCGACATCAAGATCATAATGAAGTTTTGATACTTTACATAAAAAAGGAAGAAGTCTTTTATGAACCCCTTTTAGCCGGGCTAAAGTGAAAGTGTTACATTAATAGGAGGGTGGTTGTGATTATAAAAACATTAAAATCTGTCGTACCGACCTCATTGCTATGCAAGACTGGACCTTCTCGGGTCGTACACGCACAAAAGGAGGCACACAAAAGGACGAGCTATATAGAGGCTATAATGGCATGCATAAAGAATAACTTTGTGAAGGGGAAAAGTCGTTCATACAAATTTTTTTGATACGTATAAAAACGGCATTGTGTTTATTAAGCCGCTTAGGTTGCAATTGTGTGTAGGTATTAGAAATTGTGACAAAGGAGTGGGTCGCGAACTTACCGGCTTTAGCATTTCTTAAATACCGATTGATTTGACATGCTGTATCGCAATTTTGCTTCCAGCAGTCCAAAACTTGTTCTTTTTCGAGAATGTATTTGCTTTTTTTATTAATTAATATCCTTTGTCAGGTGCATACGTTTACTTATAGCTTCTGAATTTCAGATCTTCGTTCCTTTTTATTTCTACTAGTATAATAAATTTGTGATTAGGATTAGCGTTATCCAGCTCGATTAACCGAAACCAGTATAGACTTTGCATCTCTCGGGCGAGTTGACCAGTTATATCCTTTTGTTATACACACAAAATGAAGTATGGGAAAGTGTATTAAGTGATTTATTATTTATTTATCCATAGGAACCAGTGACGATACATAATATTTTATATAAATTTATGATCGAATATATCAAAAGTAACAAATTAAAAGTTTCCCAACATTGACAATTTTGTAAAACTAAATTTAGGAAGGACTCTAAAATTAAAAGTTATACATCATAATTCAGTACGAACTATACGTAAATTATCTTTTTTTACAACGTTTTAATACACGACCATTAAATCTATTTTAGTAGCAGAAAAAAGGATTTTCTCAACTCGGAGTCACCTGTACGAGATGTAATTTAGAAAAAGAACCGTGACTGTTTTGATGTTTTCTAGGATATAATTTTTCTGCTTCGGCCGGCCGTATGCGCGAAGGATTAACTAAATATACCGATACAAGTAGCGTAAGATATCTGTGCACGTATAAAATGGTCTTAGGAAGTGTTTCGTGGAGGTTGAAAGTGCTAAAGTATAGATTGGCTAACTTTGTAATGTCTTATCTTATTCAGACTGATCATAAAACTCCTCGCTAATGGACGATATTTTCGCAAGATATTCTTTCCCATTGGGGACAGAAGCACATTCAGAATATGGCAAAGTTTTCGATGTGGTCAAATAAATGATGTTAACGTTACTTTTATACCTCTCTATATATACTTAATCTTTCGTAGCTATAAGATCAGACCTTCGAATGTTATGCGTTCATCACACATTTTATCTGAGCTTTTTTTGTTACAGGTACGATTTCGGGTGGAAACAGGAGAGAAGGTAAAACACCTAAATTTTTTGCCGTAATACATTAGATACGTAAAAGCTGTAAATGAAATTAAAACCAACTTCAAAGACACTTTATGCTGGTCCTATTAGCGGACAGCCATTCTTCCAACATCTTTATCCACAATACTGTTCAGTTGCTCCCCACGTTTATTGGATGCAAATGCACTTGATATAATAAATTATAAATAACCCACAACTGGCCACACAAATTAACATAAACTTAGTGTGAAAAATTTTAATGAAATTCGCCTAGGTTAGGAAAACTTATTCCAGTTCTAAGATCCGGAATTTTTTTTATATACCTCTTACTTTGCGCAAAAGTAATCAATTGCCATTTTTAGTTCCACGTTACTGGATGTAAAATAATGGTTTGGTTTGTAAAAAGAAACACAAGAAATGCAATGCCTATTTCGTGATCACGTGTCCAGCTTTGATCCTTCTCAAATATACATTTACCACATAATGAATTACTGGTACATTCTCCTGTTTAAAATATGCACACACCTTTGAATGCCAAACAAAATTTTAATCCAACCAAAGGAATGGTATCACTGAAAGCAAATGCAATTTTCCAATCTATGCAACAAAATAACCAAAAATCCTTTTTTTGGATTGGATTTTTATCAAATCGCTAACCCGGCTTCAATTTCGCGAAAGTCATACTGGAGATCTTTATTACGTTCAGAAATAAAATGCCAATGTTCCAGTGCGTTGATATTTATTTTGCCCAATTTATTAACTACTTAGGTTTCAGGTGAATGCACCGATTAATTGTCTTTAAATTGCCTGGCGTTCTTTGTTTATCACAATGAGTTTCAAGCTCGGTTTATTTAATCCCGTTTTTTTTAATTGAAAAGCGGCTCGCCGACTTGAAATTGTTCCTTCGCGTAATTTTCATCACTTGTTACCTTGCTACGAATTAGGCTGCAAAAAAGTTCTTCCTCGTAGCCCAGTGCACTGCAATTCGTCTCTTCGGACACGTATAAAAGGTAACTGATAATTTTTCACAGATCCGAATTTGCGTTCCTCCACGACACGATGTACTAGATACAACCGCGCTCGTTTTCCCCAATACGGTTCTTGTTAACGCTTGTTATCGCCAGACATACTTTTGCTCATGTTCCCTATGAAGCGGTATATGTGTAAATTTTCTTATGTTGAACAAAATACAAATTCAAATTCAGTTCAGTTTTCACGCTTAACCTGTTACAATTTGTTTTGGAAAACACTGCCCAACACACTTTGCTGTGGTGAGTTCTTACTCGCTTGAGTTGAGGTGAATTTTTCATCTGTGGCAGAGATGGGAATTTCCTTTCATTTCGAGCATTCTGTCGGCTACTTCGAATTAGGTTTCCTGCAGTGTCCCTAATTCGTAAGATAAATACCGGGGTAAGTATGAGAACAACTTAAGACCTTCTGCAGGGGCACCCCTAGAAAGCATTATGCGGGTCACTCTGTAATTGTGCGAAAGCCTGTTGAGGACCCAGAACAAGAGAGGGACAATAAATAAATAAACAGAAAGAAATACGAGAGGACTTTAAAACGGTTTCAATTTGATTTCAAAAGGTTCCCGAAAATTCCAAAAATTACTAATATAATGAAAGGAGTTGCGAGAAAAATTCCAAGGGGATTTCGAGCTTATGCAGAGATTTTGAGTAGATTTTTCATTTCAGCGTACTATACGTTGGTAACACGCTCTCAGCGACTTTGTTTTAATTAATTACTACTAATTAACTACCTATCAATAATACAACAGATAGTATCCTTAATACCTATCCCTGATTAAAGTGTACATTTTCAGAAAAGGAAAACGAAACTTATCCAGAATGATTATTTCCGAACGTGAGAATTACACTGAAGTGTTCCAATGAATTAAAGTCCGAAAAAATCCCTCAGATGGGTAAATTGCCGTGCGGATAATTCGCTCCGGGACAATCCGCTCCCAGCACAATTCGCTCCTGGGTAATGCACTCCCGGACAATTCGCTCCCTGATAATTTGCATTGGAACAATTCGCTTCCAGGACAATCCACTCCTGGCAGAATTCGCTTCGGATAATTTATTTCCAGAGAATTAACGCCCGGATAGTTCGCTCCCGGGACAATTTGCTCCCGGAAGTTCGCTCCCAGCACAATTCGCGCCCGGACAATTGACGCCCGAATAATGCACTCCCGGACAATTCGCGCCCAGAAATTCACTCCCTGACAATTCGTACCGGTACAATTGATTCTCAAAATAATTTGTTCCAAGGGCAATCCGTTCCAACAAAAATCGCCCCGGATAATTTACTTCCGGACAATTGGCGCCCGGATAATGTGCGCCCAAAAAATTCGCTCCCTGACCATTTGTACCGGAACAATTGGCTCTAAGGACAATTCGCTCCCAGCAGAATTCGCCTCGGATAATTTGCTTCTAGACAATTCCCTCCCGGATAGTTCGCTCAATTTGCGCCCAGAAAATTCACACTGTGGCCCGGATCATTTCCAAATTTTTTGGCAACGTATTTGACAGATCACTGTCAAATTTTCAGTACCACCAACCAAATGCAAATAACTTAATTTAAATATAAAGGCGTAGTGGCGTGGAAGCACGACTGCGGTACTAAGGGTCCATGGTTCGAATCCGTGTTCGGGGATGGGTACTTGTACATGTATAGTGGGTTGAGTTGGTAGAGCAGGCCCACCCACCTAAAAATAAAGTCCAAAAATAAATAAAATAATGGCACTTATATGAATGTGACTTTCGTCATGGCCACCCTGGTAATAACTAACAAGGCAATACGTTTGTATTGAGTCTTGAAAAAGAATTAATAGAAGACCTTGATTCTAATCGCTGACCTTGGTTCATAATTAATTATAGCGAAGAACGTCCGCCAATTTTAATCGTTTTATAAAATGTAGGTAATGGCTTTAGTTAGGTACTTCAAAACTCAAACAATGTTTTTTTAATGTTATTTACTCTTACCGTATTTACCAGCTTATTTTAATGTAAATTTTTCGCCAATTTTGTATTTTAGTACTTGCTTGATTATTTAATTTAATAATAAGTTGGTATGGTTCATCAGTACTTTGAAACGTCGTATCACGGCCAACCGTCTAACGCAAACTGTGTTACTTTAACATGATTTACACTTATATACCTACCTACGTTTTTTTTCAAAACTGCACTCCTTTACGTACATACATAAAGTTGATCTCGCATATGATCTTTTGGAAAAGATAAAATCGGTCTTTTTAAAATAAACAGGGCGTAATATGAAGCTAACTGTCCCGTTATATCTCTCTGGAACTTACTGTAGAAACTTTTAGAAAAACCAAATACTGTTGCTACATTTGAACTCTGTACAAAACGAAAGAACACATTCCAGAAACTACTTTGCATAGTTAAATTGCCACTTCTTGTAGGTCTACATCTAAGGAAAAGTGTAAGATTTCCAATAATGAAGCCCTTAGCATCTATACATCAGATATTAAGCCACCATTCTCTGTAATAACGAGAGCGAAACTAATTTTCTTGTACATGTCAGTGGTGGGAGGATAAAGCTCTTCTAGAGTTTCCTATTAATCCGGAATCATCTGCAACAACTCTTCGTAAAGTCATCGGAGATTAAATTCGAATGAATGGTGGTCGCCCCCAATATATTTTTTTCAGTGGCGTTTTGTCTGCTTGGAAAATAGAGTTTTGTCTACATTAATCTGGAAACGTGCACGCCACTGGTTAATGTTGCGTTATGACAACTTCAATAAGTAAGGTGTTGAATGAACACAAGAACAGCTTAGGGTTATTTCATACCATAGTAATTGTACGTTATCAATAGCTATAGAAGAGGGCTGAACATAAGCTGTCGAAGTCGTAATCCTTCAGACTATGTGTCCTTTGTGCGACTTGTATAAACGGTATTAGGCCACCTATAGGAATATTACGCTTCCGAAGCTGAAATGTACACATAATAAGTACAGAATTGCAACTAAGTTTTCATTATGGCTACTCGAATAATGCGCAAATTTCAATAAAAGCGTCTCGAGCGATTCACGCCTTTATAACAAAAATATTAATTTTTTTATTCGCTGTGTAGAAGTCGGCATCTGATTAGTTTCCGACAAAATCGAGCGTCTGCTGGAAAACACAGGCATTATACGACGACAAGCAGTGTATTTTCAAAACGTAAAGCTTTTATCCCTTTATCTCGCCTTTCATGGCTTTTCACAAAGTTTCGCATTTGTTAAACTCGGGCATTAATGAACTATGCTATTCGCTATCAATGCATAAAACTGAAAATTGTGTCCTCGCCGCTTTTTGTTCCGAAAGCGTATTTTCTCTACCTCGCGCGCCATAGAATGGACTTTTTGATGTTAGCTCAAACTTTGTTGTCGATGAAAAGAAAGCACAGGGAATTTTATACCCTCGAAGTTGGAAAATACGGTTTTAATTAAAATAAATTGTCTAGAGCTGTTTTATTTTCCGTTCGTGTTTTTCGCATACACTAAATGCCGAATAAAATCGTAATTTAGCTCCTGAAATTGCCGACCATATGTTACTTTACATTTTTTAATCCGTTGCGAAAATTAGTCTCCTTCTAATTTGTTTCGTCCATCATACTTAGCGCGGGCTGTTTTTGTTTACGAAAATCGAACGCCCAAATCCGTTCTGCGAGTTTGCAAACTTGCGGTACGTCTGGAAAAGTCCAGAAAGTGCATTTCTACCCTTTTTCGTTCCCGTATGAGTCCACTCTTAATCCTTTTGATACACGCTGGACGTTTGCATAATCGTATTTGCATATTATTCTAACTTTGTTTTCCTGGTAGTTCTGAGTGTGTTTTGCTTTTACTGAAATAGACTACGAGAATATGAAGCAAAAGGATAGCTTTTATATTTAAGGATATAAACGAGCTTGGAATCGGTGCCGTATGGGTTTCGCATAAATCACTTTGACAGACAGCGATATCTAAAACTGTCTCACTTTCTCTTCGTTCATTTTGATTCCCGCAACGC